CCGTTGCAGCATCTCTATGGTCACATGATTAAAATTCAGACGCTTGGGCAACTGGTTCAAATTTATGACGGTTGTCGTCTCCCGGGTATGTAATCGTCTTTTGTGACTTTCTGATAAGCAAAGTCAATGGAGAAGCCAGATTCACTTAACAACCGGGCTACTAACTTAAACCTGCAGTGATTTACTTAACAACTGTGACAAGAAAAGTCGTAAGATGGGCAAAACCACTTGTCTTGCTTAACAATAGAAATTTTGGCTTCAGTTTTTCTTTGAAAGTCAAGGACTATCTGTATTTACCATTCTTGGCAACTTTAAGAAGACTTCAAATCCCAGAATTGTCCAGCCAACATGCAGGCTGGGACATTCTGGGAATTGAAGTCCATACTTCTTAAAGTAGCCAAGGTTGAGAAACACTCAGGGGTGGGCTTCAAAAATTTTAGCGAGGGATTCTCTGCCCGGTTGCTGGGTGGGTGTGGTCATGGTGGGCATGGCCTAGTTGGCCTCCTGCACCATGGCAGGGGGGGTGTTTTTGCCCTCCCCGGGCTCTGGAAGTCTTTCTCGAGCCTCCGGGAGGGTGAAAACGGCCTCCCCAGACTCCGGAGGCCCTCTGCAGGTTGGAAACAGTCCCGTTTCTGGCCTTCCCGAACTTCCGGTAGGCCCGTTTTTCGCCCTCCCCGAGCCTCTGCACGCGCCCTGCACTTAACTGTATCCAAAATGGGCCATGTGGGGATTCCTGGGAGGGATGGGGCAAGGTGGGTGGGGCCAGCCAAGAGTGGGATTCGGGGATTCTCTGAACTGCACAGAATCTTAGCTAGAGGTTCTCCCGAACCCCCGCGAACCCCCAGCAGCCCACCCCTGGAAACACTGCTCTAGGGTTTTCTAAAAGTCCGTTCAGGCTGGGTTCTGGAAAGAAGGACTATAACATTACCTGTTGAGAATGGTAAGTAAGCTTCATTGTTCACAAAATTGCCTTCAGAATCAAGGAAATGCTCCGGATTGAATTTCCAAGGGGTTTCCCAGCACTCTGGGTCATACAGAACAGAATGGGCATTGGGCAGCAGAAGAGTTCCCTGGAAGTAAAAAACAAAACAAAACAAAGGAAATTATGAGTTCTTGTTTTATAAATTATCTGTGCAACCATCTTGAGAAGGAAGCCAACAATTCTTTCTTCCCAACAGTAAAGAAAGTTGAACTTAAGTATAAAGGCTAGAACAGGTTTTCCCAATCTCTGCAACTTTACCGTGAGTGGACTTCAATTCCCAGAATTCCCTAGACTGGAGATAGATCAGTGGTGGGTTACCCCCGGTTCGGTAGTAAAACTGGTGGGAGGCCCTGCCCACTGCCCCGGATGTCATCATCAGCTATCTGCGCATGCGATCTCGTTGCGAACCGGTAGTAAAGGTAAATAGAACCCACCCCTGAGATAGATGATGTCATATTCCGCCCCCCTCTGTTGAGAGAGGGCTGTTCAATTTTGACATAGATGGCCTCTTTGACCCCTCTTTCAAACCAGCCGTCCTCTCTGTCCAGAATGTGGATTTTGCTGTCTTTTGAGTGGCCTTTGTCTTTTAAATGCAGATGGACTACTGAATCTAGTCCTGATGGGTTTGTTCTCCTATGTTATGCCATGCGTTTATGAAGTGGTTGTTTTGTTTCTCCAATATACAGATCTGCACAGAGCTCACTGCATTGTACTGCCTATACCACGTTGCTCAGTTTGTGTCTGGGTGTTTTATCCTTGGGGTAGACAAGTTTCTGCTTTAGTGTATTCTTGGGTTTCAAGTGTGGTGGTGATGCTGTCTAACCCACATTTTTGAATCTGACCAAGAAGTAGGTTGAGGTCTACTTTATCAAATGCCTTAAAATTGCCGAGCATCTTTTTGATCATATGACCACAGAGATGTTGCAAAGGTCTTAAGTCTGAAAAACGGTCGTACGTCACGTTTTTCTGTGCCGCCATAACATTGAATGCTCACTACAAACTTACAAACTGTTGTAATAAATCAAGGACTACCTGTCCTTACACAACACACTGACGCTGTTTACTTTTAACCTATTTCTCTGACTTAGCATTTTGCAAACCCAGCCTCTTTGGCTCATTTGGGATTCCGTCTATTGCAACCATGAAGAAAACAGTTCTTGCATCTCTAAGCTGAATGTCAATTTAGCCCCGTATTTTGCAAGTCCTTAGCTCTTATTATCTTGTGCTAGTAAGTGTCCCACAACAAGCTGTTGTGGATGAGCTGGGGGGAGGGGGGGCGAGAAAGAGAGAGATGTTTACCTTTCCAATTGGGAACCCCTTGATAACAATGTCCTTCAGGCAGGTCCGTAAGGGCCCAGCGATCGTAACGTTGCTGTAACGAACGATTTCATGCAGCACGGCGTTCGTGTAGGGTAATCTGTTCCGATCCTCGTAAGTGATCACTTGAGAAGGCCCCAGAATGGCATCTATTTCATGGTGGATTTTTTCTATAGATAGATACATGACAGCGGGACTGTCAAACTCGCGGCCCGGATGCGTCACGCGCTGGCCACGTCCACGCCCGGTTTAGCAAAAGGGGGGGGAAAAGTCATGATACGTCACGTGACGACGACGTGACGACGCGAATTTGACAGCCCTGCATTACAGGTTATCTTAATCTTGCCTTTGCCATTTTCTCTCCTGATTCCTGCGAATTGTGATTAATTTCTTTCATTTGGGACACAGTTCATTGTTATTTATATTGCTCCAATGAAGCAACGTGCAGCGCTATCTCAGTACTCGTTGTTACTTCATTCCGGGAAGCACGATAAGTACTAAAAATGTCGAGCACTAACAAAATCACCTGACCTATCATGTGATCCTTTATTCCATCCAGAAGAGGTAGTGGGTCACGAGCAGAGGGGGGTTTCAGCAGGTTCTGACCAGTTCTGGAGAACCGGTAGCGGAAATTTTGAGTAGTTCGGAGAACCGGTAGTAAAAAGTCTGACTGGCCTCACCCCCATCTATTTTCTGCCTCCTGAGTCCCACCTGATCGGGAGGAAATGGGGATTTTGAAGTATCCTTCCCCTGGAGTGGGGAGGGAATGGAGATTTTACAGTATCCTTCCCCTGCCATGCCCACCAAGCCACGCCCACAGAATCGGTTCTAAAAATTCTGACTGGCCCCGCCCCCATATATTCTCTGCCTCCCGAGTCCCAGCTGATCGGGAGGGAATGGGGATTTTGCAGTAACCTTTGCCTGGAGTGGGGTGGGAATGGAGATTTTACAGTATCCTTCCCTGCCATGCCCACCAAGCCACGCCCACCAAGCCATGCCCCACCTACCAAGCCACACCCACAGAACTGGTAGTAAAAATTTTTGAAACCCACTACTGGTCACAAGGCAGCCAACATCGACAAATACTAGCTTGCATGTTGAGTACCAGGAAAAACAACAAGTATCGGGACAAGATTTTAGCTTCAAAATGTGTTGAGGACAGCTGGTCCTCAGCTTACCACAGTTCATTTAGTGACCGTTCAAAGTTACAACGGCCCTGAAAAAAGTGACTTAGGAACATTTTTCACACTTACGACCATTGCAGCATCCTCATGGACACATGATCAAAATTCAGATGCTTGGCCACGGATTCGTATTTATGACAGTCGCAGTGTCCCCGGGGGTCATGTGATCCCCTTTTGAGACCTTCTGACAAGCAAAGTCAGTGGGGAAGCCAGATTCACTTAACAACCATGTCACTAGTTTAACAACTGCAGTGATTCGCTTAACAACAGCGGCGAGGAAGGTCATACAATGGGGCAAAACTCACTTAACAACTGTCTTGCCTAGCAACAGAAATTTGGGGCTCCATTATGGTTGTAACTCAAGGACTACCTTTATATAAAGTCATCCGATATACTGGAGTAGTGAAACACGCTCATCCATTAAAATTCATGACGATCACACGATGTGTGATTTCACTTGCTAAATCTTCATCAAATCTTTACCAAAGCTGGTTAAGGGTGTTGGGTGAAGACTATTGGGTCTTCAGTTTGCAAGACATTTGTGATTCCACAATAACATCTAATTTTTCTTGATTAGCCTGGTGTCAACTCGCAAAGCATCCCTGGCCTGCTCTCGAGTTGCCATAAGCAAGAGGGGATGGGAAACCAATGAAGCAGCACAGCAGCCAAAGACAGATGAACATTCCAGACTTATCTCTCTCAAGGCTGTATCCCAAGGTTACCCACAGCGGCCAGAGGGGAGTGGTCTCTACAACCCGGGAAATTGCTCCATTGGTGAATGTGATTGATGACACACCCTGGGGGGGAGGGGGGAAATAGGGTCATGATTGGGGTGTAAATTATGTAGGGTCAGAGCTGGCTTCAGTTGGGAACGTGCTGACATGAAGCTCTTAATAAATAACTGGATTTCTTTTGAAGCTTGGCTCGAGGCTCATGATTTAATTAGGGCATCCGTGGGAACCCTGATACCTGGATATTTTTGAACAGAAGAGAGGAGAGGAGAGGAGAGGAGAGGAGAGGAGAGGAGAGGAGAGGAGAAGAGAAGAGAAGAGAAGAGAAGAGAAGAGAAGAGAAGAGAAGATCCCTTCCTTGAGATGCCGGTTGTCAGGAAGCAGCTAATTGCTCCTGATCGCTGGCGCCGAGATGGAGCGACAGGGTCCCCAATGCCAGGAGCTGCGCACACCCCTCTCGTCTCATTAGTTTTCTCCCAACAGCTGGGCCCTTTGTCTTCTGCTGCTGATCTGGAAGAAATGGAATCTTTACGTTTTGGGATATTATTGATAAATATGAATGGGAAAAAAGATCCCGAGACTAGGGTCAGAATAAGAGGATATAACAGAATAACAGAGTTGGAAGGGACCTTGGAGGTCCTCAAGTCCAACCCCCTGCTCAGGCAGGAAACCTCTATCTATACCATTTTATCACTTGTAAGACATCATGGGTGAAATGCGGAAGGCTCTGGGAGATGCAGCACTGCAAGTTCTCTGGGATATTATTGTTAATCTGGTTTTGCTTTATTCTTTTGTCTCTGTGCTTTTCACCTTGGGATGTGGTGGTACAAACATTTAGCCAAGATGGTTGAAAACTTTGGTAGTTCCCTCCGAAGATTTAATAATTAGAAGGATATTAGATTGCGCCGAGATGGATAAAATGATATTGGAATTGAAAGGACTGATGGATTCGGATTTTTACGTAATATACGAGAAATGGTATAGTTGGATAGAAAAAAAGGGAAATAAGAAATAGTAGATTTTGTAAAATTATATAGAGTATAGAACATTAATGTGATGATATGTAAATGGTCACAGTCATGCACAAGAGTTGGATAAGAATTAATTGTTAAAACCCAATAATACTCAAAGAAAAAGAAAACTTTGGTAGTTGTGGGAAGTGGTGGGATTCAATAATTTAACAACTCATGAGCCTTGGTAGTACAGTGGTCTAAAGCACCCTGTTATTAAGACCAGCTGCCTGCAATTACTGCAGGTTCGAATCTCGCCAGGCTCAAGGTTGACTCAGCCTTCCATCCTTTCTAAGGTGGGTAAATTGAGGACCCAGTTTGTGGGGGCAATAAGCTGACTTTGTATAAATATACAAAAGGTATGAAGGCTATTGCTTAGTGCATTGTAAGCCGCCCTGAGTCTCCGAGAAGGGCGGCATATAAATCAAATTTAAAAAAAAAAAAAAACTCGTTCTCTGCCCTAATGACCGGCTGGGTGGGCGTGGCCATGGTGGGCGTGGCCAGGGGGTGTGACAGGCAGCACTCAATGGGGCATCACCTCCCCATGCCCCATTTTGGGCCTAGTAGGCCTCCCTGCACTTACCTGGGAGCCAAAACAGGACACGTGGAGGGGGGGGACTTCTGGAGGAGGCAGGGTGGGGAGGAGCAGGGCCAGCCAGCATTTTAACAACTGGTTCGGCCAAAGTGGGGCAAACTGGTTGAATCCCACCACTGGCTGTGGGTGTATAATATGCCAAGGATGCTTAATGTTGACTTGGCTACATGTATGTTGTGGGGTTTGCATGTATGGGTGTGCGCAATTTGACTCACGGTGTGCAGTCCAGTCGGCTAGGTAATTGTTAATTGTTCATCCATTTGCTTTATCTGACCACCCATTTCAAGGACATGACTCTCGGCAGCTCGCAACCTTAAAAAGAAATAAGAACACCTACAATACCAAACTAAACCGAGAAATAAAATGGGCAGTTGCTAGAGAATCCTTCGGGAGTAGGGCGGTATACAAATCAAATAAATAAAATAAAATAAAGAAAGAATCAGAAAAAAGCCCTCAGCGTATCCTTTTGGCGGGTGGCCACAAAGGGACAGCTTCCACACAAAAGCCTAACACCCAAGTCACTTCTATGCTCTGTTCACACGTCCTATTAAACCCGGATGTTCTGCGAATCCACTTGTGTTTGTTCACTGACGATTCAAGGGAGCTGAGATTTTGGAAAGACCATTTAACACCTGAATTTACCTGGGCAAAGTGAACTCATGTCAGCGCTTGGTGGCAGATTGATTTCTTGCTTGGGTTCAGAGTCTACAATAAGGCCTCTATTGTTTACGGTCGAAAATGGTTCATGCCTTCGAATTGGCCAAACATTTGGGAAGTTTTCCTATGTTTTTTTTTTTTTTTTTTCCCCCAGCGGACAAAGTCCACCAACTTTGATGTTTGTTCTAAACAACCGACGAGGCTCTCCTCTCCTTTTAACAACTTGGTTGGTTTTCAAAACAGAACAAGGAAACGTTAAAATCAATTTAACCCCGCCGGTGGGTTACTTGATCATCTTACTGTCAGCTTTAACGTAGCGTTCGTTGGGGAGGTATGTTTGATCAATGCTAATGTAACCTCTGTATTTTCCTCCCTCCGCTCTCCTTTCCCACTCTCTCCCATCCTGCAAAAATAAATACATTTGTGGGGGGACAAAAAAAATAACCAAATTACCTTCGCCAACGACTCTCGTTTCAGAGCAAAATCCAGCAGCCATAAATTGCCAAGGATGGGAAGAGGAGCTGGGCCAGGGGGAAGCCGACTGCGTGCCCGTTGCAACTGTAGAAATTGGAAAGCGAAGACCAAGAGGGCAAAAAGCAAGAATCCTTCGATCAGCATCTCGGATACGGCCCCTTCTCTGCAAATCTCCTGGGTTTTTGCTTTTTTTTTTCTTAAAAAAAAAAAATATTAATTTTCGGAAAGTGCAGACTTCTTCCTTCGCTTCACCTCCTTTCCCTCCCCATTCTCTCACTCCCTCTCTTTTTTCTCTCCCTTCTATTTTATGGCTTAGAAATAAGCTTTTTTTTTTTTTTTTGCATTTTTTTTGCCAAGCCACTCCTTCCCTGGCGATGATTTCCAATCGTTTGGCTCTTTCTGATGAAAACTGGTTGCAACAAATCTGCAGGACAGATGACCACTCCCCCCTCCCTTTCCTGATCACCCGGTGGTAAAATTTTGGATCCTGAAGGATGGAGACAGATCCAGGGTATTGAAAGACCCCGGGAGCCCTGTCCTAAACATGTAT